TGTAGTCGGGAGCCGGCGCAACCCCCCCCCACCGCAGAAGCGAACCACCGCTCAGCGGCAAGGCACCCCCAAGGAGGAAGGGGTGCGCCAGCCAGGGCCTATACCTCGCATGCCTGGGACCAGGTCGGCGACGTCCAGGATGGCGCGGGCGGCCGCGACAGCCGGTTGCCCGCCTGCGCCAGCCGCCCCCCAGCACCCAGTGGCGGCCGCGCCCGCGCACCGCCGCCGCTCGCGCCAGCCCGGCCCAGCGCGAGCGCACACGCGCCCGACCAGATCCGCGCAGTCGCCGAACTCGCTGGTCCCTGCGCCTGGCGCGCTGCGGCATGGTTGCCAGGCGCGGCCGCTGGCGCCTTTCGCCAGGGCGGGCGCCTGGGGCGGCTGGCCAGCGGGCGCCGGCCGCGCGGCGCCGGCGCAGCGCTGCAGCACCGGCGGGGGCAGGGCCCGCGTCAGGGAACCAGAGCGCCTCGTGCCGCCCCCTGCGGCTGCGGCGCACGCCGCCTGTTCTTCTTTGGCTGTTGCAGGTTCGTCGTCGCCCTCGGCGTCCTATCTGCCTGCTGCCCGCCAGGGCCATGGAGTCTGGCCGCGCGAAGGCGTTGGCTACTCGCCACGCAACGGCAGAATGCAGCGCAATAATTTCCTGCCATAGGGTAGCGGCCAGAACAGGTGCTTCGGCCTCGCCGCCGGCCATGGCCGCGAGCATGCGGATGCGGCTGAAGCGCTCTCGCCTGCTCGGCCGCCTATCTCAAACACACGCGGCGTCACGGTGAGACCGGCGTACCGGCGGCGTTTCTCGCATTCCTCCTGGGCCGCCGCGGCTCCATCTCGGCCGGCGGCAGTGCGCGCCCTGGCGGGGTCCAGGTGGGCGCCCGCAGTGGCGATGTCCAAAGCCACTCGTCTGCCATCGTGATTGAAAACAACGTCGAGCACGTCGCCCGGCGAGTCCCCGTCATCGGAATCCTCGAGCATGCCCGCCCGCAGGCTCTCCAGACGCTGTTCCTTGAGCGCCCTGGGGTCAACGTACTTCGCGGCGAAGCGCAAAAGGATGTCCCGCACCTCATTGTGGCCTCCAACAACTCCGCCGCCTACATTGCAGCCTTCCGCGTGCGCGATGCCAACGATCCCTCCCAGCAACGCCCCGCATGCACTCCGTCGCCCGGTGTGCCGACAGTGCGTCTCCGCTGTCACAGGAAAGGTGATTTGGTCTGCGGTGCAAAGAAGGCGCTTGCGCAGAGCCATGCGCCACGCCCCGTCGGCCCCTGGCGCAGCCAGCCCCTGTGCGCCTCTTCTGGAAGCTGGTGGAGAAGGTCCGCCCGCGTCACGAACATGACGGCGTCCGTCAACTCCCGCTGCATGTGCGTCGGCGATTCCTGCGTGAAGTCCAGCTTGCGGTCCTCGTGCCGTAGGGTGGGTGACAGTGTCAAGAGCTCATCGCGCGCCCTCCGCCAGTCCACCGCCAAAGCCGGGAAGGCAGCTTCTATGCCAGCATCTGCATAAATGGGGGCCCCGCCGCATTGCCTCCACAACTAGCGTCGCCACCCGGCGAAGAAGGCTGCCGCCGCGCGCGGGGTAGCCAGGCCAAAGGCCGCTCCACCGTCTCGCAAGGGTAAATTGCCCAGCTGGCGCTGCTGCGGCGTCGGGTTCACGCCAGCGTGGCCCTCCCACGCCTCCGCCACCGCCTGGTCGTAGTGAGCCAAGGCGGCAGCACTCCAAAGGCGCGAGCGCAAGAGGTGCACTGGCGCCCCGACAGTGACGCATCGCAAAATGGCGCCCGCTACCTGACAGCAGAGACCCTTCTCCTGCGCCCGCTCGAGGCTGGTCGCGGTGTCGCGGACCAGGGTGGCAGCCTGGTGGAGACCCTGCTGAGGGCCCGAAGCCAGAGGCCAAGGCGTCGTCGCGGTTGTGTTGGTGCAACGTGCATCCAAGCACCAGCAGGTCTTGAACGACTGCCGCCTGCAAGGTCTGCGGCAAGTTCTGGGCGGACGTCTCTGGCGCCAACCAGACCCTGGTCTTCTCGGGGGCGATGTGGAGACCGATCGCAGCCAGCCGGGGCGCAAGGGCGTCTTGCGAGGCAGCCAACTGTCTCGCAGGCCCCACCACGTAGACATCGCCGGCGTAGGCGACGATCTTCGTGTCCAGCCCAAGCTGGTGCAGCTCCACCTGGGCCTCTTCCAGCACCTCCGCGAGAGCGCTGCAGAAAAGAAATGTGCTCAGCGGGCAACCCTGGCACGCCAGTGGCCTGTCCGATCCAAGTGACGCTGCCGTCGTTGGTGTCGAAACCGTTCCGCACCTTCGTGCCGAACAGCCCGTCCACAAGGGGGCCGAGCCAAGGCGCTCGCTTGCGCGCGGCCTGCTGCACGACGCTGCGGCGAACGCTGCCGTGAGCGTTCTTGAGGTCGACGCTCAAGACGCCCTTGTTCGCCCAGGACACCACGTCTAGGTAGAGCGCCTTGATAGCAGCGTCCGCGCCGCCCGCCCGCCCAAGAGCGAATTGCATCTCGCC